CCAACTTTAAAAAGAAATGTGAAATGATTTAGATAAAATACTGTAACTGTATAATCAATTCAGAGAGGAAATGTTCCAGAATAAGTGATTTTCAAGAAGTATGATTTTATGACCTGACATCTGAAAAATAATTGAACAATGGAAGAATCGCCCTCCTCCAGAGTATTATTAACCAGCCAATGGGAGGTGTTCAGTGAACCACTGGTAACTGGAGAGGAAACCAGAGAAAGAGGGGGCGGGGCTTCTGAGGAACTGACCGAGCTGGGATTTTCTGAGCTGGGTTGCAGTTTCACTTAGGTATGTTCAAAGGCATCTCTAGCAGTTAATAAAACGGATGCAATTTTCCTTCTAGCCCTTGAGTGTCTAGAACACAAATCCTCCCCTTGTCACTGACCAGCTTCTCCGTCCCCTGGAATCCCTTCTGCCTCTCCTCCTTCATCCCTGAGATCCACCAGAGGACCCCAGACTCTGCTGACCATCTGACAATTTGCCTCTGTCCCTACAATAACTTAAATCAAACGAATAATTTCTTTAAGGTGGAAGGGACCTTGGAGCTTATCCAACAAAAGAGACCCAGCGACTCAGTGGGACGTCCCCAAGATCATAGAGCTATTTTAGTCACACGAGCAGAGCTAGTACCTTGCTCTCCAGTCTGACACCTCCTCCACCGCTTCCCTGTTCTAGCCCAGGAGCAGCAAGGCCAATCGGCTTCCTAAAGAGTTTTCCAAATCTTTATGTATTGGTTTTGGACTCTAGACTGCTCTGAAAAATAACTTGAAAATCCACCCAGTGTCTCAATTTTCCTTCTGGAAGTTAATTTTAATGCTTCCTGGTCTTGACTAATCCTTATCCACCAGTGTACATAACCTCTGTGTGGGTAGAATCTACATGCTTGCTGCTTCTTGGGCTATTTTCTATTTTAATTGAACAGTCACCCGTTTTCCCAGCTTTCCAGAGCAGTGCTGTCCAGTAGAATTTTCTGTGCTAATAAAAATGCTCATTACCTGCACTGTGACAAGAGCCACCAGCCACATGTGCCTCTGGAGCACTAGAAGTGAGGCTGGTTTAATGTGCAGAATGGAACTTTTTATCTTATTTTAATTCATTAAAAACAAATTTAAATAGCCACTTGCAGCTAGCGACTACTGTGTTCGGCCAACACATTGATGGAGTCTTCATTGCCTTCCTGCCCGTGGATGGATAAGATGATACTGACATCTCCATTTGTTTTATTGTTTCTTTGTCTTTGGACATTCAACTTGCTCTTAGACTTTGCTATTATAGCAAATACTGTTTTATGTAAAGACATATTCACTGTCATAAAAATTGTTGCTTGTGTGGTGTTTTTTTTTTATTTTGATCTATTTACTTCTTGCAAATGAAATTACTACTTGGTAGAGTTGTGAGATATTCCTCAAAATCTTCAAGGAAATCCCCACCCATTATCCTCCCATGAAAAACCCTTAGGAGCAAGAATTCTAGAAACTTCCACTGCTAAGTCCTCTGCTGGGCCACTCTACCCTTTTCCTCTTTCTCTGCTCTCTCACCCTCCCCAACTCATGCCTTAGGGCTCCTTACCCCACTCCAGCCTTTATCATTTTATTGTCCTAAGAAACAAAGATGGAAGTCATTTTGGTTTAAAGGATTTCCTACTAATCCACACAAAGTATAAAGTTCAGGAATGTTTTGAAAGTTAAGCATTTGGGCACATTGCACAGCTCTGGTCCTAATTCCCCACTCCTGGTTGGGGCATTCGAGGGGCTGCCTATGCTGTGCTTGGAGCAGGGGGTGCTGGTGGCCTTTGATCCCCTGAGCAAACTTGGCTCACTATGGAGCTTGGTTTTCCAACCTCCCAGCCTCATGTATCACAATCATCTCCACAGAGGACCCTCAAAAGATGTTGCAGAGGGAACATAAACCCCACCCCACCAATTAGAAAAGACAAACAGATCACTCCCCAGGCCTCTGTGACAGGGAATGCTGCAAGAGCTGAGCAATCCCACCCAGATACTCAGATAGGACGATGTCAAAAATGGAGACAGCTCTAGGGGCTGGGGTTGTGGCTCGGTGGAAGAGCGCTTGCCTAGCATGTGTGAGACATTGAGTTCGATTCTCAGCACCACATAAACAAAATAGAGTTATTGTGTCCAGCTATAACTAAAAAAAAAAAAAAATTAATGGAGATAGCTCTAAAGGAAAGAATGTGGAAGTCTAAAATCAAGAAGCAATGCTTTACCAGAAAAGGAAGAATGGGGACAATAAGGAAATTAATTGATCACTAGATCATAGGAGGTCATTAAGCTATAAAGATTTTTTAAAACTGGAGTAAGCACAGTTATGATTAAAGAGTACATTCTTGCAAAAAGCAAGAACCAAATAGCTTGCTACAGCTATTGGCTCATGGATGCAATAATTAGAGCTGAGCAAAGGTCAGGATTATTGTCCCCATAGGGAACAATCATGTGGGCAGTCAGACTGAGTTAGCCCATGGAAGAGAGCAGAGCATATAGAATGAGAACCCTGATCAAGCCAAACCTGAAATCTGTATATCTCTGGAATTTTAATGTATCATGAACTTCTGCTGTGTGGCTGAGGTTCAGAGTCCTGTGGCATTCCCACTGTGAGGCTCCTGGATGGTGAGCTATTCCTGAGACATCTAATCTTGCAGAGATGAATGTTTGGCAGAAAATTTCCTCTTTCAGAACCTGTGGAAATTAAGCATTAATTGTTATGTATAATAACAATATAGCGGGAACAGGAAGGGAGGGTCCTGGAAAACTCAGTTGTCATCTACCCCTTGATCAAGTCATTTGAACTTTGTTGGCCGTCAGCTTCCTTATTTATGAAATGAGGATGTTAGCAAAGATAAGTGGTTTTTAAACTTCATTTTTGACAAATAAGTGTTTCTAAACTTAGTTCAACAACATGAAACATCCCCATCTTTTTCTCCTGGATTCATTTGTTCTGAGAGTAACAAGCTCAGAAGAGGACTAGTAAAAGTGGAGATGTCCTGGTTGAGGGGTGTGTGTGTGTGTGGCTAGAATGAGAACCCTGATCAAGCCAAACCTGAAATCTGTATATCTCTTCACACACAGCCTCCCTATAGCTTCCCAAGGTAGCCCCAGAAGAACTCCAAAGAAGTCTGAGGCATCTGAAAACAGGCTGAGATTCTGGGCTAGAAGTTCCCTTCAAACATGGGTGGTAGGAAGAGTTCAAACTGGGTGTAAGGTCCTTCTTTCAAATTGTTCTCAGTCATCCAGGGTGAGGGAGTGGGCATCTCCCACTCCCCTGGAACTTTTAAGCTATATTATTCAATACATGTCTAAAAAAAAATAGTTAAAGCATATTTAACTGCAAAAGCACTAGTCTGCCTTAGGCATCAGAAAATGTAGAATCAAACACCTCTCTCAAAAAGAACATTTTAAAAATTAAGTACAGCTCTGGATCAAACCCCAATCCAATATTCCTATGTTCTGATACATAGCAAGAGTCACACCATTTGGGAACCGATGCCGACCACCCCCCATGTCATGGGGAGCCCAGCACTGTCCAGATGCTTCACTCCTCAGCAGGAGGCCCGAGTCATCCCCCATCAGTTGTCTTCCTGCAAGGCGGCTATGTTCCTCCAAGTCCCCCCTTCGCACATTTCAGGCATGAAGGTGAAAGAAGAGTGAAGAGTCCCCCCTCAGTGCTCTCCTCTAGAAAGGATCCACTTTCCAGATTGAGAACAGCACCCTCCCCAGAACTTCTGGCTGCATTCCAGTCTCCCAAGCCAAAAATAGCATATGGCCACCTCTCAGTGAAAGGCAGCCAGGGAGAGGGGTGGCCCCAGGATATTCAGCCATAGAAATGGCCCCAGAGTGGATAAAATGAAGGCCAAGGAGAGCAATTTTACCCTAGGGGAGTCTTTGCCTCCATCAGAGGAGCCAGAGGCTAGTGAAGGAAAGAAGCAGAGGGACAGGAAACCCAGTCTCTCTGCAGATCATGGGGAGTTCACAACTCTGTTCTTGAGCCAGTCTTTGTTGGTGGCAGGTGACTGATGGGTGAGGAATGGGCTGATCCCATGTCTCCTTCCATGGGGAGGCACTTCTCCTCGGTATAACCTCAGACTCCCCCTAGGAAGGTCAGGCAAATCTCTCATCCCCTTCTTCCCCCATTCTCATCTGCTCCACCCATAGGTTTTAGCAGGTAGCGCCATACTGACCCTCTGCTATGCCCCAATTCATATGCTGAACTTCAGTGTGAAGGTGTTAAGAGGCTTTGTGAGGTGATTTGGTCATGAGGGTGCAGCCCCCATAATGGGATTTGTGCCCTTATAAGAGTCCCCAAAGACCTTTCTCACCCTCTTTCCACCTTGTGAGCACACATTAAGAACTCTGCTGTCTGCAACTCAGAAGAGCCCGCACTGGAAACTCACCCTGCTGTCCCCCTGATCTTGAACTTCTAACTTCCCTGGGAGACTTTGTGATAGCAGACTGGACTAAGACACCAGCCTATGGTCATCAGTGCTGCCCGAGACTAGGAAGGCGAGCTCTGGAGTCCAGTATCAGGAAGCCCACACAGGCCCACACCCATGCCACACCCTTACCCAGCAACAAGGAGGAGCTCTTCCTCATCTGCCTGCTCCTTTATCTTATGCATGAACTGGTTCTGGACTCAGGCAGTGAACAGAGGTGTTATTTGCTGGAACTCTCCTCTGCATAGCCAACCAGTGCCCAGACTACGGTAGAGCTTAGTAAATACTTTGTCAAATTTGAAAATGCCTAACCATTCTTCCAGGACTTCTGTGATCATGTAAATTTATATTCCCAAGAGATGAGAAGCAAAGCAGATGGCAGGCATGTAGAACCTTTAACAAGCAAACAAGAATACAGAATTATACAAGTATCAGTTCCTAATGAGATGACCAGTACCTGGAGTTTTTTTGTTTTTGTTTTTTTGTTTTATTGAGTGAATAGCTGTCCACAATTATACACTCCAATTTAAACATTTGGCCCAGCATAAAGGAGAGAAGTCAGCAGCTTTTCTCTGGTAGCTACTAGTCAAAATGGTTAAGCAGGCAAAAATAATTACCAAGAGATCATAAAAGTAGGTCTGTTAGAATATTCCTCAATAGCAGAACCCCCTTCTCATGTTAGTATTAAAAGGCAGGACTGACTCATGCGTAGCAGACAGTGATAATGTCAAGCTTTTGTTTTATGTTACGTCAGATCTAGGGCATCAATTTAGCTCATGAAAATGCCTAAGTGTACACTAATGAGCACCATTTTAATAAGATACTTCTGAGTTGATTTTGGAAAACAATTATAAGAATATTATTGGATGTAGAAATATAAAATTCTGATACTCACACAAAGTATAGAAAAGTAGCTAAAAGTTGTCACAGCCCCATACTTTGACAGAAACTGCTATTAGTCCACCCCCCTCATATTTATTTTCTACTCTTCCTGAAGTTTTAGCTGAGCACACAGTTGCCCAGAATCAAGACTACATTCTGCCTTGAAGCTAGATGTGACCTGTGACTAAACCAAAGGCATGAAGTAGAACTGATGTGTGGAATTGTTTTGTAGAATGCAAATGTGATGACTGGTGCTCCAACAGCTAGGTTGAGCCACAAGGTGGCTTTGGGATAGAAGGCACAAATTGGCAGAGCAACAGGATGCCAGCACCCTGAGTCCCTAACATCATCAAATGCTATACCAGCTGCAGGCTGGTTCTCTACAGACACTTCAAACACAAGGGAAACAGATGAACGAATCCAACATCAGATTGAGTTTTTCTGTTATATATGTAACAGGATCCGATGCAAGTTACAGAATTTCAGAGATCGGCCCAGAAACATAAGGGTAAGCTTCCCAAGAACTGAGTGTCCTGATTCTCCAGTCTTTCCTCACCAACTTCCTTCTCCCAACTTAATCTCTCCACATCTTAGGTACTTAATTTTTTTAAAAAAAATACAGAAAATAAAACACATACTCTTATGCTGGAATTAAACATAATAATGCAACTGAAGCACTCAATACAAGGTCTGTCCAGGTAAAGGTTATGTAATGTAAGACTCTTAGAGTTGATACTAGTGGCGATGTGTACCTGTGACTACTGTCATCGGCCAAAGGGAGTGCACTTTCATCCCTATCAGGCACATTTCATGAAAACTTCTCTGTTAGATCATCATTTTTTAAAGCATTAGTGACTTCTGCATTTGTCCTAAAGCATCTTAAATGGAATCTATGGGTCAGTTAAAATATTGACGAAACAGCTACTATGTCCGCAACAATAACAGCATCGACATTCTTTTTCTAATATTTAATGGATTTTAAGGAGCTTTGGACATCGCTAGAGGTTTAAGTACTTGTCTATCCTGACTAGTGGCTAAGGCCCATGCACTTTTTGCTATAAATTCTTTGAGCAATTTCACCCGAATCACCTGGGTAGGGCCTCCGCTGGCCTGGTTATGGGGAAATGATGGAACTTAAAAAACATAAAAGGTTAAATGAAAGCCCATGTAGACTGTTACCATAGGTTTTCAGATTGATAAGGGCAGAAAATTAAGGTGGTAGATGAAAGGAAGCATTGCTCCAGGGAGGAGAAGACCTGTCACTGCCAAGCTAAATGCCACAGTGTGGGTTCTAAGACCTCCTGGGCATTCTGTGCACACGACAGAGAGACAACCCCAGATTAGGAGCATTGGTGAGGCTCAGAACCAACTGTAAACATTAGCTGGACCAAGCAAGAGAAACAAAGACACCAGTTCAGGAGCCAAATTTGCAAGTACAGGTAGAATACTTAATTTAAAATATATGAAAAAGAAAGCTCAGTAATGTACCATTATTCCTATTTATAGTCTACTTCAATAATAATAAATTAAATAGCAATGCTCTGAAGGTATTCACAATGAAGAAATTCCAAATAAAATTGGGTCAATCACCAAGTTCAGTTCCAGTTCTTGGACAAATATTTCTCACTTTTCAGGCATGAAGTCCAAGGTGGGAAAATATACAATCACATCAAGCATAGCAGTTGTCCGGACTTTTACGAGAAGAGATGAATTTTAAGGCAGTTGTAGTGGCTTGTCCTGACTCCGTGGGGAAGAATGCTGTAATCAACTAGTGATGTCTTTATCCAGCAGAAGGATGATGGCTCTGTGTGCTGACTGTACTTTGTTGTCACAGCCCCACACTATACAGAAGGTCCTACCAGCTCACATGCCCCAGGTATCACAGCTGAGCATCTGCCTCCCTCTCCTCGGCCTCGTCACTCCTGTCTCTCTAGAATGGAGAGAATAATCATCATTTGCAGGTGATACAAACCCAAGTCACACTAGTTGAAGCAGAAAAAGGAGAAACTATTGGCTCCCTTGACTGTGAGGTCCAGGGGTGGTATGATGTCCAGCACAGTAAGATTCGGAAGTTCATCATGCTTTCAGGAATCTGTTCTTCTCTCTTCCTTTCTTCACCTCTTAGACACACTTGGTATAAAGAAGGCAAGATGACCACCAGCAACACTAGCCTCATGTACTCCCACCTCAGCAATCAGAATAGAAGGTACAGATCTTTTTCTGATAGCCCCGGTGGGGACCAGGGGAGAAGCCCAGGCAGAATTTTCAATGCCCCTGATTCAGTTACCTGGATGTACTAAAACTGATCTGGTTGCCTACTTTTGGCTACAGTGTCCACCCAGGTGATCGGAAGGGGGAAGCCAGAATCAGCCCCATCCGACTGCCGTTGCACATGGAATGCATTCTCCACAGGACAGAGGGGTCTGGTTCCAGAAGGGACTGGGAACCAGTCTACCCACATCCCAATCAGTTCTACTGAATGTTCTCATTAGCATCCAACATGGTGTCCCAACTCCCTAAGCAAGTATCTCAGACCCTCTGCACCCTTAACTCTCCCTGCTTCTCCATGCCTGCCCTGGCTGCTCATCTCCGAGAGAACACAGACGCCTCTTGTCAGACTTCGCTCTCAGAAGGCCATCTTTGTACCACCTCCCAAGCCACAGGTAAGTCCCACCTGCTGCTCTGCCTTCCTCCCAGGGACCTCATTTGAATTTTAAGGTAGAGGAAGACCCACCCTCCATGCCAGAGGAAGGGAGAAAACATCAAGGAGCCACAAAAACTTGGACTTGGGAGCCAGATGCCCTTGGGTTCAAATCCTAGTCCTTCCGCGTTTTACTTCTATGACCTGGACAAATTATTTAACATCTGTGATCATGAATTTCCTCATCCATAAAGTAGGCTGAACTAGCCTACCAGTCAGGCATGGTAGCTGGGCACAGTGGCTCACACCTGTAATCCCAGCAACTTGGGAGGCTGAGGCAGGAGGGTCACCTGTTCAAGGCCATCCTGGGCAATATAGAGAGACCTGTTTCAAAATATAATAAAAAGGGCTAAAGATCTAACTCAGTGGTTGAGAGTCCCTGGATCTAGTCCCCAGTACCAAAAAAGGAAAAAAAATTAACTAACTAATGTAGGGATACAGTACTCCAAGTGTCAGCTCAGCCTTCTGGTTTTATCTCTCCTTTTAATATTAAAAGAAAAAAATTATACAAGGTTCTCATTTGTTTAAAAAAATTCATTTATACATGATTTTTTCCCTCTTTCTCTAGACTCTTTATGCTGTTTGAACTTCTTGAACTTCTTTTTTTTTTTTTAATCTTTTTTAGTACTGGGGATTGAACCCAGGGGTGCTCTACCACTGAGCTCTTTTATTCTTTATTTTGAGACAGTACTTCACCAACCTGCCCAGGCTGGCCTCGAGCTTGTGATCCTCCTGCCTCAGCCTCCCAAGTTGCTGGGATTACGGTTGAGCACCACCACACCCAGCTCTGTTTGAACTCTTTACTGTATGTGTTACCTTTAAAAGAAAAAGAAAAAAAGGTCAATGTTATTCTCTAGCTGGTGCCCGCCCTTCATCCCGTGCACTGCAGCTTAAGGTACAACAGAAGTCCTTATCTTCACGGACCTTCAAGAACATGTTCTGGTCAACACCTGTGCAGATTTCCCACTTCTGCGGAGTCCTCAGGCACTTCCTGCACCTCTCTTGACCCTGGTCACCTGAAACATGTCCTGCCACCTCCTTCTTCTTTAATTCCCCTTCCTTGTGCTTCCTCTGAGTTGCATGTTGCAGAATCCACAGAGGTAATACCCGGGGTATCTTCATCTACTTTCTGCTGCTGTAACAAATACCATAGACTGGGTGGTTTATAAAGCACAGAAGTTTATTTGGCCCATGGTTCTGGAGACTGGAAAGTATAAGAGCAAAGCACTGGCACTGGGGAAGGGCCTTGGTGCCATGGTGGAATGAGTCACATGGTGAGAGACCAAGAGCAAGAGAGCAAGGTGTGGGAGAGGAGAGAGCGCTAGGGACTAGAGTAAGCAGGAGGGAGGGGAAGGAGGCTGGACCCTGCCCACTGCCTTGGCACCTAACTCACTCCTGTGATACTGGCATTCATGTACACATGAGCGGGTGACGTGCGACAGTCACCTTGAAGGCCCTGCCTCTCAATACTGTTGCATTGGGCATTGTTTCCAATCGTGAACCTGGGGGAGGGGGCCATTCAAGTCACAGCATGGTTATGGGCACACACAATGTAGCAAAGGGTTTAAAATTAATGTGAGACGCACTTGATCCCAAGAATCCCAAGAACCCGCCAGTGGCTCCCACCTCACTGACCATCCCACTGCCCCTCTGCTGACCCGGCTCTGAGCTCCCTCTGGGTTCTCAGGGTTCCCACTCCCATCTCAATCTCCTACGTGGCCACCTTTGATCTCTCTGAACCTTCTTCTCACCCACTTCTCGGGGAGAACGGGGAAGAGCTGGCCCCCAGGTGCGGTTGGTTCATTCCTATCCCTCTGCCTGGGAATAACTGAGGCAGAGCCTGGGAAAAAAGGGCCAAGGAGTAAATTATAAGACAAGGCACCCACACCCAGAAGAAGGGGACAAGCCCAATTTCTCACACCCCTGTAAGGGCTTTGCACATTTTTTTTTTCATTCATAGAATATGAGGAAACTTCTTATTTAAAACCCGCAAAATTGCCATTTGAAGAACATCTTCAAAGACAATCCAAGAAGTTTCCTGGAATCAGATCCCTTGGGGAGAAAGTCCAGTGAATTTTATGGTGGCCGTTGTGTGACAAGGTTGAATTATGAGCAGCCTATAATAGAGCAGAGTTTTATTTATTCATTTTTTTAAACAAAACTAAGCTTCAAGTTACTAAAAAAATAAAATAAAATATGAACCAAATGGTAAGGAGGCTAACTAAAAGCGGTGGAGAAGCAGAGGTACCATGTGCCACCCACATCAAATGGGCCACATCAGGCCCCCAGCCAGCTGGTCACTAGGATCCTCAGGGGAGGGTTTAAAGGAGCAGATTCCTGGTCCCTGTACCTGACTGCTGGTCTTCAACTTTTCAGCTTGTGCATTCCCTAAACAGGTGGGTGCATTAGACTAAGTCACCCCTCACACGTGTTTAATTTGGCTTCTAAATTTAGTCATTGTTGGGAAAAGTATAAACGGCAGCCATACCCCAGAGAAAAAACCCCAACATGGCGCCTAAGCACCTCTTCTTCCTACCTTCTTCTTTTCTGCAGTGGCGCGAAAAGTTCCCACCCGTGTGAACTCTCCCGCCGGTGCCAATTTCAAATCTCGCTGGCGGGGAACCTTAGCCCCAATGAGAACTAATTCCTGGGCTCCGGAGCTGATATCTGAAAGAACTTGCCAATAAATGGGTTGCCTGCCATTTATCTAAACCCTACCATCTCCCCCTTAGTTCTATATAAGCACACTGCTTTTTGCAATAAAATTGGAATTCTCCCGGCGAAGTGTCTTTGTGTGGGGAATTCTTTCAGTCATCATTAGTTAAATTGTTGCAAACAATTTCTGGCAAATTATAATATTGGCCCTTTAAAGTGAAATTATTTCAGACATTCCATTAAATTTTGCTAGTGTTTACAAATGCCATATCAAGCTGTTACGCACCACCCTTCATTGGCAAAAACACAAAAGGTCTCTCCTTTAAACATGACAGATTTTACACTGATCTTGTTTCTCCTTGGACTTGTACATCCGTTCCATCTCCCTGAAGAAATTTTATCTAAATATAATATGTATATTTGTGCTCATAAGCCTTTTATTGATTATCCTACAGTCTGACTTTGTCTCAAAAAAAAGTATATTTGAATTTTTAAACTTTCCTATAATAGATAAAAATCTGTATAAAGTAAATTCTTCTAGATTGAAATATTATTATGAGTGCAAAATTTATCTAAAATACAGTACAAAACTGAAAAGGCAAACATAAAAATTCTACTAGAAATAACTAAAGGAAAATGATAGAGCGCTTTAAAAAATTTCATGTTATGGCTGGGGTTGTGGCTCAGTGGCAGAGCACCTGCCTCACATGTGTGAGACACTGGGTTCGATCCTCAGCACTACATTAAAAAAAAAAAGTACTGTGTCCATCTAAACTAAAAAAAAAAAAAATTCATGTAAGTATTTATGGACATTAGTGACTGCATAGTTGATTTGATTGAAATAGTGATCTATTTAAATAAATATTAAAATATACACTTTTTTAAAACAAATAATTGTGTACATTTAAAAAAAAACTGGCAATGGGTTTCTAGATAATAGAAGGTAATAGAGCAAATCTTTTTATTCAGAGAAAAAAGAATTTCTCATCCAAAATCAACACCCAGGGGCTCTGATGTGGATATGGTTTCTCCCACAAAGGTTCCTGTGCTAGAAACTTGGTTGGGGTGGTGGAACCTTCTGGGGGTGGAGCCTTGTGGAAGGTGATCAGGTCATGGGGGCCCCGCCCCCCTGTGCATGGATGAATGCTGCCTTACAGGAGTGGGTCAGGTCTGGCAGGAGAGGATTAGTTTCAGTGAGAGAGTTGTTGTAAAAAGAGTGAATCTGACACCTCCCTGATCTCTTGCTTCCCTGCTCACACATGTGCATGTACCTTGTACACGTGGCTGATTGCTTTTCTACATCTCTGCGAGGGAGCCCTCAAAAGACATGCTGTTTGGATCCTCCAGACACCAGAATCATAAGCCAAATAAACCTCCTTTCTTTAAAAATTACCTAGTCTTGGGGCTGGGGATGTAGCTCAGTTGGTAGAGTGCTTGCCTTGTATGCACAAAGCCCTGGGTTCAATCCCTAGCACCACAGGGAAAAAAAAATTTACCCAGTCTCAGGTATTTTGTTACAACAACACAAAACAGACACATCCAGCATTCAAGAGGAAAGAAAATACTTTCTTGATCATGAAAGAATTTGAAAAGTTTATCATCCTCAGCTCCTTTTGAAAAAAATTAATTGAAAACACATTTCAACAACATGGAAAGAAAAGGAAGGTGAGAAAAAGAAAAATCTTGAGTAGAAAGATGAGTAAAGTTTAAATAATTATGATACACTGTGTGTAGACTAATAAGCCGATCTGAATCCAATGATTTCCATGTGGCAGGAGAGGGAAGCAGTGGGAAGTGAAAACTTTCTAAGTCTTTTGTCATCTTATTGGGGAAGATTCAGCTATGCTTTAATTCTAGACATTGAGAGAATTCTATGTCTTAAAAAAAAAACACTACAGTTTCTAACAGTTGAGATTAGAGGAATAGAAATATCCTATATCATTTCTAAAGCATGAATAGAAGAAACAGAAAAATCAGCCCAACAGTAATTACATGTCTACTTACGTAAATGCAAATTCATAAGGATTTTTTTTTTGAAAGCTGATATGATATGTACTCAGTATTTTGCCTTTGAAAGGAACAGGGCACTGTGTGGTTAAAAGGAGTTCAATTTTTTACTCTTTTATGTACTTCTGATTTGTTTGATTTATTAAATAACTGTGTATTCACTTATTACATATGTACTTTTTTTAGCACTATAGGATTTTTATAATCCAATAAAAATTCTAATTGGAATTCTTTAGTTTTCTTTTTCTCCTCTCCCTGCCCCTTGTTATTTAGTAAAAGTATTTTGAAGTTCATTTGGAAAAATAATAGAATGTGAGAGAATGAGATCATGTTTTTCAAATCCATAAAGGTGAACACAATTCTAATAATGTCACAGAGGTGAGATGAAGTGGGTACTTTCACGTTACTGGGGGTAGAGAAGAAAACTACAAATGAAAGGGAAATTCTTTGCAAATAAATTTGGCAGTATATACCAATAGTCATTTTACCGATCATGTTCTTTCACTATAATTTCCCACTCCAGAACTCATCCTAGGGAAATAAAATTAAATTGACACAAAATATTGAAACAAAGATATTTATCCTAGTAAATATGGTCAAGATCAAAAGATTGGAAATCCACTGCAGGTTTAACTCAGTAATAGAGCACTTACCTAGCATAAGTGAAGACCTGGGTTTGATCTCCAACCCTGCAAGTGAATAAAGAAGAGTGAGTCAATAGGTTAGAAATGCTCTAAGTGTAAATGTTCGGAAATTATCAATTACAGTGTATATATAAGATATGCTATGCAATCATGGGCCATTATTATTGCAAGTACTTTTAATAAATGGAAAACATGTATGTTCTGCTATAGATTTTTTAAAACCCACAAGATGCAAAATTGAATATATATTTTTGGATCATATGAGCTTGAAAAAGTTTGGGGGTATGGAATCAAAATAACTGATTGAGCACAACCAAGATCTCTAACAACGAAAGAAAAAAAAAGTATTCTTTCAATAAGCCTGAATCCAATTATACTATATGGCACATGCTATCATCAGATCAGAGAATTTCAGTGATACTTGCAACAGAGAAAGCAGAGAGGGCCACGTTGACAAAGGAAATTGCATCCTAAAACAGACTCAGGAGAGACATTGTACAAAGACAGAAGCCTCTCTGGCCTGCAGGAAGGAGCAGGGGGGGACAGCCACAAGGAGATTACAATCAATCACCCAATCCTGGTGGCCAAACTGGTAGATTCCTCCCTTTGCTTATCTGTGCCAAGAAGAAGGCCTACGGGGTTGCCGCCTCAGGCCAGAACAGGGAGCTTAGGGCGAGGGTGTAAGAGGCAGTATGGCCCCTCAGGCGGACAGCAACGCCCAGAGGGAAACTGGAGTCCCTGAGCTTCTAGGTACATCCACTAGTATTTGCTCCTTAGCTGCAGGACCCTCCCTCACCCACAACTGCTGGTGGTAAAAAGAAACATGTCCACAAACAGGCCCAACCAGCCTCCCTGCCCGCTTGCTGTCCCTCCCTCCCCTCCTTCCCTCCCTTCCTCCCCTCCCTCCCTCCCTCCCCTTCTCTCTCTCTCTCTCTCTCTCTCTCTCTCTCTCTCTCTACAGAGATAGATAAAAATTTCAAACACATACAAATTCAAAAGACTATTAGAAAACAACCCATATTCCTTAACCTGTTCTACAGCTATTGGTGTTTTGCTAGTCCTTTTTTTATATAAGCTGCCATCACCCATCTTTAATTTTCTTCTGTAATATTATATTTATTTTTTGATATTTTTCAGGCTCAGTCTGGCTCCCTAACACCTAGAGCATTTTTTGAAAACATGACCACACACATATCCCCAAATATTAACAACTTATTACTATCTTCTAGGCCCACTGTGGCAGCTTGCTTTTCCTAAAGATGGTAGATGTAGCATCTCCCAAGTCCTGCACGGTTGATCTTGCTACTCCCCCATCAAGAGTAAAGTCCAATTTCTCTCCTTTTGACCCTCTGTGGGGCTTAGTCACTCACTGGAACACTGGAATGTGAGAAGGAGGCGCTCTCTGAATTCCTAAGCAAGGTGAGGAACAAGTACCTTCTAACTTCCATCAGACTCCAGCTGCCATGGGAAACCCCACTGCAGGGAGAGGCCACTGAAATCCAATCGATGCTGGCACTGGAGCCCAGCCCACCATGTCTTCCCACCTGAGGCTGCAGATGATGTGGGCCAGAGAAGACACCTCCGCATACCATCTCCAAATTTCCGACCCACAGAACAAATGCACATAGAGAATGGTTGTTGTTTTACTCCACCAAATTGTAAGGAGGTGTGTTTCACATCGGTAAAAATTAGAAAGACTCCTTCGTGTTCAATTTTCCCTCATTGTTTTCAAATTTTGTCTTTATAACTGACCTGTTTAAATTAAAATCCAAGAAAGGGTCACATACTGTTTTTGACTGCTTTGCTTTTTCCCTATTAAATCATTTCACCCACATATATTTATCCTTTCTTTTCATTTTTATTCCTATTTGTGAAGAAACTGGGTCTTTGATCTTATAGACTATCTTCTATTCTTCTTTGGATGGTGTATCAACTGGCCAAGCATTGCTTACCGTGTTCTTCTAAGAGTCATATTCCCTGAAGAGTGATGGTTAGACCTATAAAATTTTCGGGAAACGTTTTCTTTAAGGGTCCAGAGTGTCAGTATTTTAGAGTTCATTGGCTATTTCATTTGCCAATGAAGCACAAAAGCTACCGTAGGTGATATATAAATGAATGAGTGTGCTATGTTCCAATTAAACCTTGTTTTCCAAACAGACAGCAGCTAATTTTGGCCCATGAGCTATAGTTTGCTGGCCCTGATCAAAGATGATTGAATACAGAGACATTCAAATAAAAAGATGAGTGCACAACCCAGAATCACCAAATGCTTAAGGGAAGCCAACATCATGAAGGAAAACCAAGCCCAACATCTGTAGAAATGGAGTAAATAAAACTAACAGAAGAAGACTTTAAGGAGGTCCTGTAGATTAAATATTCTAGAGAATAAGTAGATATCCCATTCTTGAAACAAGAAAAGGCTACATGATGACAAGCATGTAGATATCTTAGAAATGAAAAGTACAATCATCAAAATAAAAAGATATATCATATAACAGAATGGACACAACTAGGGAATAGATATATAACTACCAGAGTATGCCAATAAATAGTTCCAGAACACTAAACCAAGAAGAAACAAAAGGAAATATTAAAATAAAAAATTAAAGTACATAGAAGTTAGGACCAGAAATTCCATTATCCGTCCTATGGAACTTATAAATAAATAGGCGAGAGAGATGAAATAGAGAGAGGTAAGCAAAGAAATAATCATTAAAAATGTTTTTCCTGAGCAAATAAACAAATTTGACTTTTTAAATAGAAATGGCCCACTGGATAACAACCAGGATGACCAGGGTGGGGTGACTCCTGCAGGGACATATAATGACAAAGTCTCAAGACTCCTCATCTAGAGTTCTGAAATCCCCTCCACCCACATCCAGAGACTCATGTAGTAACTCTGGGTGGGATTTGAAAATCTGACTTTTGTCAGCTCATTGGTTTCAGAAATGCTGCTCCAAGTGAATCTAATTTACAGACAAAATTGGCAACTGCTATTCTCTAGAGCAATAATCTGGGACTCCAGACCAAGTCACCCTTTCCTCTAGTAGAGTGCTGATTATATATCCCAGTGCTCCTGGCTGCCCCTCCCTCAACTTCCTGGTGCAGGAGCCACTCCCTTGAGGGCTCACTGAGAGCCTCCCTCCCCTCTGCCACCCTCAACAGGATCCACTCAACATTGTGCAGCAACCAGGGTTCTGCTGACCACTCCCCAAAGCACACTGGCATCCCTAATGTGTCCTGTGCTTGATGCCTGACCCCTGACGGCTGGGTGCCTGGCCCCTGTCACAGCCTCAGGATGCTAGCTCTGCTGTGATTTTCTGGTTCAGTTATTAGACCCAGATGGAGCACTCAGTGTGTGGAGAGCTCAGTGTGTGCCCAACTGGGCAAGGTCCTGGGTAAGCAGACTGACCAAGCCTGAGCTCCCTACAGGAGCTCTAGTAAGAGAGGCGAAAGGAAAAGTACACCACTATGTGACAAGGGCAATCACACAGTTTGTCCAAAGACAGACTAAGGACTACTGCAGTCACTTTGCCAAAGTTCTTAAGACACTTCAGATTCCCAGCTCTGGCCTCCTGAGTCATAATTATGTGAAGATGGGCCTCAGGAATCTGCATTGTCGATAAACTCAAGTAATTTTTATGACTGCAAAAATTTAGGAAGCATTGGTTTAAGAGTTGCATCCCAGGTCTCTGATTTGGTTTGGAGGGGACAGGAGTATGGGAAAGGGTGCAGAGGAGCTGAACTGATGGCCAATAGAGGCCTGGGCTTTGTGGGATGAGCTGCAGGGAGCCAATGGGAAGTCTTAAGATTGGGGAGGGCACAGGGGCAGCATGGTAGAGTTGTCAAAGTTGACTCCTATGACAGGGCAGAGAATGAACAGAGGTGAGTTGGGGACAAAGTGAAGGACCCGAGGTTGCAAACAGAGAGGTGAGCCCAGATCCTTCATTATGGGACCCAACGGTTCTCAATGGCAAGACAGACAGAGAAGGGGAGATGAGAACTCAACAAGACTGGGTGGGAAGGATGGGGTAGGATCTGTAGTTCTTGTGTCCCCTGAGCTTGCCTCAACCTCCCAAGGTTCAAGTTCTCAGGCCCATCAACCTTTCTCGGTCTGCCCCCATCTGCCAGAGTTAGCAAAGCTGAATCAGCCCTGTCCTAGGATATGCCAGTTACTGAAAGAAAGATATACATACAGTACACTTCTATGGTACTTTTAGAACTTATCTAATCTGGCTGGATAAATGAATAACCCTTAATATTTTGTCTTTACAGTGAAATATCTAAGCATTATATGCTACTTCCCCAGAGGTTCTTAGTTGTGCAGCCCTTTGAAAGATTCATGCCTAAGCCACTCTCTCAGGTTCCCAAAACACCTCTAGGCAGCAATTACAAGAAGACAAAAGAGCCAAGCACAATGGTGCATGCTTGTAGTCCCAGCGCTCAGGAGGCTGAGGCAAGAGGATCATGTCAAGACCAGTCTCAGCAATTTAGCGAGACCTTAAGCAAATTAGCAGGACCCTGTCTCAAAATAAAAAAGGCTATGGATGTAGCTCAGTGGCAAAGGGTCCCCAGATTCAATCCCTAGTACCCAAAGCAAACAACAATTACTACAAAGCCAGGCATGGTGGTGCATGCCTGTAACCCCAGAAAACTTAGAAGGCTGAAGCCAGAGGATGGCAAATTTGAGGCCAGCCTCAACGATTTAATTGGACCCTGTCTCAAAATTTAAAAAAATAAATAAAAAGGCTGGGATGGAGCTCAGTGGTAGAATGCCCCAGGGTTCAATCTCCAGTACCACCAAAAATAAAAAAGTGGGGGAAGAAAAGAAGATTCAAGGGCAGCACTGACCACTAGGTCTTTTCTGACCTCACCTGAACTCTCAAGGGATGAGAGGATCATCACACACCCGCCCTCACAGGAAGCTCTAGATGGCATGGAAAACCACACACTTCACAAGTGAGTTATGAGTGATCCCATAAAGGGTTGCTCAATCTTCTCACCGGGGGTTTTGAGGTGAACCTTGTCAAGCTTATGTAGCCACCT